AAAAAAAAAATTCTTTTCAAGTTGGAATCATCTAGAAAAATTGATCATGCTTGCTATTGATGAAGCTGTAGAGAAAAGAGCACTAGCAGGCTGGCAAGAGCGTGAACTGGGCAGGCTTCCTGGAGGGTAGTTTGGCATTGTGTATCCAAACAAAGGATGTGCAAATCCTTAGAGTCAGCAAATCCACTTCATGGGATTTATCCTAAACCTAAGAAAATGATCAAACCAGTGTACAAAAATATTTACATAACATGTTCATCACAGAGTATATATATATATATATACACACACACATATATTAGCAATAACTTAAAGAGTTTATATTTATCAAAAATTAAGCTGGGCACAGTGGCTCATGCCTGTGATCCCAACAATTTGGGAGACTGAGGTGAGTGGATCATTCGAAGCCAGGAGTTCAAGACCAGCCTGGGCAACATAGTGAGACTGCATCTCTGTAAAAAATTTAAAAATTAGCCAGGTACGGTGGCTCATGCCTCTAATCCCAGCACTTTGGGAGCCTGAGGCAGGTGGATCATGAGGTCAATACCAACCTGACCAACATTTAGTAGAGAGAAACCCTCTCTCTACTAAAAATACAAAAGGTAGCTGGGAGTGGTGGTGCATGCCTGTAGTCCCAGCTACTTAGGAGGCTGAGGCAGGAGAATCACTTGAACCTGGGAGGCAGATGTTGCAGTGAGCTGAGATTGTGCCACTGCACTACAGCCTGGGCGACAGAGTGAGACTCCATCTCAAAGAAAAAAAATTAAAAATTAGCTGGGCACGGTGGTGTGCATCTGTAGTATCAACTACAAAGGGGTGGAGAACTGAGGTGGGAGGATCACTTGAGCCTGGGAGGTTGATGTTGAATTGTTTGAACCTGGGGGGGCAGAGGTTGCAGTGAGCCAAGACCGCACCATTGCACTCCAGTCTAGGTGACAGAGCATTACTCTGTCTTAAAAAAAGAAAGAAAGAAGAAAAGAAACTGGAGGCTGAGTGTGGTGGCTCAGACCTGTAACCCCAGTGATCCCAGCACTTTGGGAGGCCAAGGCGGGAGGATTGTTTGAGCTCAGGAGTTCAAAAGCAACCTGGGTCACATGGCAGAAACCTGTCTCTACAAAAACTTTAAAAATTAGCTGCGCGTGATGGTTCCAGCTACTCATGAGGCTAAGGTGGGAAGACTGCCTGAGCCCAGGAGGTTGAGGCTGCAGTGGGCTGTGACTGTGCACTGCACTCCACTCTGGCCTGGGTGACAGAGATGTCTAAAAAAAAAAAAAAGAAAGAAAGAAAAGAAAAGAAACGAAACTGGGGAAACTATATTTTTTGGCATAACCATGCATTAGTAACAATGGAGAAACGCTGTGATCCCAACACTGAAAAACTGGATATAGATATAACTTTACCATGGAAAGACACTCACTGCATGTTAGATAAGACAAGAAAGCTCCAAAGTAAGAGGTAATATTATCCCATGTTTGTAAGATTGTGTATCTAAATACATTCATTTGTATATCAGAATTTCGGCTAAGATATATGCCAGAATCTTAACAATGGCTAATCTTTGAATGGTGGGATTACAAACTGAATCAGGCAGTTTAGGCTCAATTATGGTGCAGCAACAACTGGGAAGCCTACTGGTCTACAATGGCAGAGGTTCGTTTCTCTCTGCTGTTCATGTCTCTTGTGGCTGGCTGCTCTGACCACCTTCTTCACCCTGGGATCTGGGCTGACAAAACAGTCTCCGTGTGGACATTGCAGGTCGCTGCAACAGACAGCTGATGGACCACCCACCGGCTCTGACAACCAGTGCCAGGCAAGTTCCACGGCCCCTCCAGGCTCAACAAGGTCGGGGCATATAATCCTCCCAAGGCCCTCAGGTGAGGTTCGTGCCAAGGAGGGGTAGCAAACGCTTTGGACATAATACAATCTACCACACACGTTATTTCATTCTATTATTTAAAGTTCTTTTCTTCGCAGAAGGGGGTGAGAGGAGAGGTGAGTGGTCTCACAGGCATAATGCCAGCTACAAGGGGCTGGAGAGCTGATGTGGGAGGATCACTTGAGCCTGGGAGTTTGAGGCTGCAGTGAGTTGTGATCATAACATTGCACTCCAGCCTGGGAGACACAGTGAGACTCTCACTCTCCCCACCCCCAAATTTGAGAGGTCTGGACTTTGCCTAATTTAAGAGGCAAGTCACTTGAACTTTACCTACAACAAGGATAAAACAGTGATGGGACAGAAACTTCTGGATGCCCAGAAGTGTTGTGCCAAGTTAGGGAACCTCTGTGAGTGTGCCTTTGTAAAATGGAAACAAAAACAGCTGTCCTGTCTACTTCACACTACTCAGCAATAGGGAGGGGTGGCTCATGGGCTTTAAAATGATCAGCGCTCTACCTGCACGCAGAAGGTTTGGTGCTTCAAGCTGTAACCACATACCCACACGTACTATATGTCCCCAACTTCATCAGCAAGGGGCGTTGTTCATCCCCTTTACTTGTGTCCGTGTAGGGCAGGTGAAAAGATGACAACCCAGGTCCCACAATGGGGAAGGAGAAGCCCCCTGACGGATGAGCGGTGGAAGGGCTGGGACCTGAAATGAAGGACCCGCTTCCTACTTTGTCATGGGACACTGGAAATAGACATATCTCCCTTTCCTCCTGCCCCAGCCTCCTGGGATGGAAGGCAAGAAATGATTGTAATCAGGGATTCCCAAAAGGGAATGATCATTAGGGCCACATATGAGCATTGAAAAACTAGATTCCCGGGCTCCACCTCCAGGAGCTTCTGATTCATCTGGTGAGGGTAAGACCAGACTGAGTCACAGAAGGTGATCTGTGCCACCCCCACTTGGCCCTGGCTCCCACCCAGCTCCTCTGCACAGGTCTCATGAGGTGTCCCAGCAGGGAGGCCTGGACATCTCAGGTGGCACAAGCCCTGGCAGCGGGGAGAAACCTGAGTGGTCCCAGGTTATCTGATGGTGCACCTGCCTCGGCCCCGTGCTCACTTCTTGAATGTCAGGATCAGAGGAAGTCTCAGGAAGCAGCTCCCCAAGCAGCACGGGTCACCCCACAGGCTGCCCCAGGGCCAGGCTTTCCAGGTCAGCAGGGGCAATGGAGGTGGTAAGAAAATGGTATCCCCTGTCCTGCTCCTAGCCCCTCAGAACCAAATGTGCCCCTGGCTCCCATGACCTGCCTGCATACCTTGACGGACAAGTCTGGAATTAATCTCTTTACACATCTATCAACCTGGCAGCGAGTTCCTCGAGGGCCAGGACAGGTCTTGTTCCTCCCTGCATACCCAGTGCAGCCCCTGGCACAACATTTGTGCTTGCTTAATATTTCATGAATAAAGGGGAGGTAGTAACACTTACCATGTTACCACAGGGTCAGAGAAGGACTGATATTCACACCCACTGGGCACATGGGAAACGCACGTGCCTACCTGAGAGGTGGGGAGCCCCATCCTTAGTCACCCAGCTAGAGGCTGAGCTTAGCATGCCTCATTTGGCAGTGGTACTAGATTACTTCTGGCATCGCGGTACCCCGTGACATAAGGTATGAAACTTACGGAGCCTCTTCCCAGGAAAATGCCCCTCCCACTCCCTCTGTCTCACACATACAACACACCAAGTCCAGGTTAAGAGTATCGGCCCTTCGCCAGACACAGTGGCTCACATCTGGATCCCAGCACTTCGGGAGCTGAGGCGGAAGGATCACTTGAACCCAGGAGTTTGAGACCAGCCTGGGAAATATAGGGAGACCCTATCTCTACAAAAAATTAAAAAATTATCCAGGCATGGTGGTGCACACCTGTAGTCTCAGCTACTTGGGAGGCTGAGGTGGGAGGATCACCTGAACCTGAGAGGTCACAACTACAGTGAGCTGTGGTCATGCCATGGCATTCCAGCTTCAGTGACACAGCAAGGCCCTGTCCCCGCCGCCCAAAAAGTATCAGCCCTTCAAAAAATGGAAAGCTCTTTTCTAAGAAAGAAAGACTAAAATTACCTATAATGATTATGCGGTTAATGAATTTATTTATTTATTTTGAGACGGAGTCTTGCTCTGTTGCCCAGACTGGAGTGCAGTGGCATGATCTCGGCTCGCTGTCAACCTCCGCCTCCCAGGTTCAAGTGATTCTCCTGCTAAGCCTCCCAGGTAGCTGGGACTACAGGTGCATGCCATCACGCCCGGCTGACTTCTATGTTTTTTTGGTAGAGATGGGGTTTCACCATGTTGGCCAGGCAGGTCTTGAACTCCTGACCTCAAGTGATCCGCCCACCTCAGTTTCCCTAAGTGCTGAGATTACAGGCATAAGCCACCGTGCCCAGCCTCATGTCTACAACTTTTTAATTATTCAGTCAAAAAAAATTATACACACATATCCATCTAAAGATGATGTAAATGTGACCAAAAATTAACAATTGATGAATCTACAGGGTGACCACAGAGTCTGGAAACATTTTATTTTTTAATTTTTGTAAAGACAGAGTTTTGCTATGTTGCCCAGGCTGGTCTCAAACTCTTCGGCTCAAGTGATTCTCCCATCTCAGCCTCCCAAAGTGCTGGGATTACAGGCATGAGACACTCTGTTTGGCCTATCATATTTTTCAATAGATTGAAGATGTCTCTGATGGCATTAGGAAAAATTACCTATTTCCAGACTTTCTAGATACATAGTAGACAAAGAATATAAGGTCTTCAGGCTGGGTGCGGTGGCTCACGCCTGTAATCCTAGCACTTTGGGAGGCCGAGGTGGGTGGATCACCTGAGGTCAAGAGTTCAAGACCAGCCTGGCCATCATGGTGAAACCCCAACTTGAAAAAAAAAAAAAAAGAATATAAGGTCTCCATTGAACTATCCTTTCATCTTTTCTGCAGGTCTGAAATCTTTCAAAATAAAATGTAGGGAGTGGAGGAAGGACCCTAGACTAAGCTTCTAGTCCTGAAATCAGGATTCCGTGCTCTAAGAAGGAGCTCAGACAAAGGAGGGGACCACAGTCAAGGCAGGCTCCAGATGTGTTTATTAGGCTATTTAAGTAGAACCATGTGACCATTTCTGTAGGTAAAAAGACAAAGAAGAATTACAAACACTTTGGGTCTTTCCCGAATTCTCTCCCCTTTCTCTGGTCAACTCCACCCGCCTTCACTCTCAAGGGAAAGACACAGGGGGAAGGGAGTGGGTGAGGGGACTGAGGAGAGTCTGTGTGGCTCCTGACACCCCAAACATATTCCGGTTGCCCAAAGATGAGAGGCAAGGCTTGCTCTGATCTTTCCCAGTCCTCAGAGTCCAGCAGGCCGCTGTGCTGGACACACGTGGATCCACCAGCATCCATCAGTCCTTCTGTGTTCTCTCCCTTACGGTCCAGGCTTGAAGCCTAAGAACTACATTCCTCAGCATTTCCTGCCAGCCAGGATTTGCTTTAAAGTCCACTAACGAGAGGCACTTCTAGAAACCACGATTCCGTTTCCAGCCATGGCAGGCAGGAGGCATGAGGTTCTGCAGCATCTTCTGAGCGTTTTCCTGTACATCATCTGCTTTTGTGTTGCTGGAAGCTGAGACCATCAGCAGGAGTTTTCTGTGCCTCCTGCACGTTGCTGATTTCTGACAGTTGCTGCTGGCTTTCTCTAATTTTCATTTCTCTGTCCCTTTCGATGGTTTTATAAATACTTCACTCCTACAGTAGATCCTTCCTGCTTATATTAATAATACCTAGAGGGGACATGGTTTTCCTGATTCATCCAGCTGTCTTAGGACCTTACTCCAAAGTAAGGAAGGCTTCGCCTCAGGAGGTAACTGCCTGTAGATAGATTTCCAAACACTGTTCATTCGTTGATGCCAAAAGGTAAACAGAAGCTGACGTGGGTGGTAAGCAACTCCCAGACATGGAACACACGCCGGCCTGCGAGTCTGGAGATGCTGAATGGGATGCAAGCTCCCGGACCAGAAACGTCCTCCCATCTACCTCACTGCTGCCATGCCCCTGGAGATGCCAGGGCTGCGCAATGGCCACATGGAGCAGAGATGGCTCCCAACAATGGAGAAGAGATGCCTGCAGGGCCGACCCAGCCCTCAAAGCCCACCTGGCATTACCCTGGAACACAGGAACATCTGGTCATCCTCCTAGCACGGGGGAGGGGATTCTCTGCTGCCAGGCCTCTTGGAGCTGAGGCAGGAGGATCAGCAAGAGAGAGTCCAGCACAGCTAGACCCTCCCAGGAACACCGAAGACCCCTGGAAAACCAAGAGGCCCAAAGGTGACTACTTCATCTTACCAATTTCAAGTCCATCCCCCACCAGGGCCAAGTCCCCAGCACCCACAGGCCCCTCCTTAACCTCCTTAGTCTTTCTTACTTCTCCTGGGTCTGTGAAGCTGTAGTCAGGGCTCCCTGGGATACCTCAGCCCCCTCTGCCCAGCACCCCCACACACCTGTGATCCAGCTGCAGTAGGCCCCGCTGCAGCAGCTCCTGCACTTCCTTGTTCGCTCCAAACACATCCCACAGGGTCAGCTGGGGCTCAAACTGCTCCCAGTGCTGGGGAAGCCAGAGGGTCAGAGGTAGGGAGCTGGCCTGGCTATTCCAGGCCACATGGCTGGGTGGTGGTATGAGATGGGGGAGGGGCTGGTCCAATATGGAGATTTCAGCAGCTGACATGCATGAAACCAGAACCAGGCCAATGGGCCAGCAGCGAGGTGAGCACCTTCACGCCTATTCCACTGAGGCTGGAACCCAGCTTCCAGGCAAGCCAGGCCTTCCTCTATTACCCCTCTCTTCCTTCTCCTCTCAGCCACCCCCAGCCAGGGCTTTATGGCTCTGACTTTATCCGGAGCTGCTCTGGGTTTGCTTGATCGTTATCTACTGTGCTTCCTATGAGAGGTCTCAGTGCTCCTTAAAAACATTTGGAAACGCTTTATCTATCTATTGCTTCACACAGCTCAGAAAATTGAGGCTCAGAGAGGTGGAAGGATTTGTGTCCAAGGCTGCAGTAGAATGGGGCCTGGAACTTGGGTCTCTGCGGCCCTGGTCTAGGGTTCTTAGCTATGCACCACACTGCCCACTGCTTCTGCCCATCGGGCTTCAGCTAGACCCAGGCCCCAATTCTAGCTGCCAATCCCACAGGAACTAGAGGTGTATATGTGTGTGTGTGTGGGGGGGGATGGTAGGGAGGGAGAATTGATTCTGCACGACTTAGGAGGGAGTGGTGTGCAGGAATCCCAACTCCTTACCTGGTGAGTGATCCCCACATCAGTGCGTAGCCCCAGGGCCAAAACTTCCTCCAGCCTCAAAGAAAAATCATCAAGGAGTCTTAGAGAGGAGCCCTGTGCTCCTCCCATTCTTCACATTCTACCCTGGGATGCGTTTAGAGGAGGCTAACAGGGACCATGCAGTCAGTATGTGGCAGGGCAGGGCCAGGGCAAGGCAGGAAATAAAACAAGCACAGGTGGAGGTGGTGGGGCCCCTAGGGGAGACCTCTGCCCTTGGATGCTCACAGCTCCAGCCTGCCCAGGGGCACACGCTTCCGGGTGCCATGGCCAAACCGCATCACCTCCTTCATCCAGTTGTCAGGCTCCAGTGTCTGGATCCGAGCCTCCCGGGTGTGGCCTCCAGCCCCCTGGGGCATAAAGCGCCCATGGGCCCCTGACGACATCAACACCCATCCCCACATTAACAGCTGCTAATACTATGTGCTCACCAGATTTAAATCATGTGGTTCCTGGAACAACTGCCTCTAACATGCTAGAAATGTAAATTCTTTTCCTTTTGTTTTTTCTTTGAGATGGGGTCTCACTATGCTGCCCAGGCTGGTCTTGGACCCCTGAGCTCAAGCGCTCTTCCCACCTCAGCTTCCCAAGCAGTGTGGATTAGAGGCACGTGACACCACCCCCTCCCTTTTTTTTCTTTTTTATCATCTACCCCCAAATGCTGACATGTAAATTCTTAGGCTCTCCTCCAGCCCTGTCCAATTGCAAATTCTGGAGGTGGGGCCGAGCAGCCTGGGTTTTCACAAACCCTCTAGGAGGCTCTCACACACACCAAAGGCTGAGAACCACAGTGCAAAGCGTGACATCAAGTCCCTTGTAATTCATGCTCAACAGTTCTACAGGGAGGTATTACTTTTTGCCACATTTTACATATGAGAAAACAGAGGCCCGGAGAGGTTAATGTGGCCCAAGTTCTCACAGCCACGACATTCCTCTCCTGAGTCATCCTTTCTGTAGCTGACGGGACTCACCAGGTCCAATGCCAAGGTACTGACCACACTGCCAATAAGTCCAATTGTGTGTACTGAGCGCCCCCTGCAGGGAGGAGGAAATAGTGCAGAGTGAAGACGGCGGGCCCGTTTCTGCTCAGGTAAGGGGCCCCCAGGTTAGAGTATCCCACCATCTCAGGTCTGAGAGTGCCCAGTCGGGATCCTTCTCTTCAGAAGGTCACAAGGCCCCGGTAACACCGCAGTCTGCCCATTCTCCACCTCCAGCCATAAGCCCCAGGACTCACATTCCGGGCAAAGTTGGAGACCTCATACTGGCGGAAGCCAGCCTCACGAAGGACGGCCCGGCCCCTCTCGTACATCTCAGCCGCGAGCTCCGGGTCAGGGGCTGGAAGCGCGCCCTGCTGCACCTGGGCAAAGAGGGCAGTGCCCCGCTCCAGGGACAGCTGGTAGAGGGAGAGGTGGTCATCACAGTGGTGCAGCAGTTCCTGTAGCTGCCCAAGCCACGGTCCCACCTGCTGGGCTGGCAGCCCCAGCATCAAGTCCACGGACACGCGCCCGGGAAAGAGGCACCTGGCCTCTGCCAGCGTTCGCAGAGCATCGCTGGCCGAGTGCGTCCGTCCCAGCAGTTGGAGCTCAGTGTCGTCTAGGGACTGGGAAAAGAGGGTGCGTATAAGCATACCCGCAGCTCAGAAATAGACCAGAACGCTCCACCCCACTGTAGACACAGATACAGGGAGAACACAGCATGTGGCAGGCAGCTGGAAGGCAGGAGGGGGAAGGTCAAGCTGGCCCAAGAGCTGCTGTTCACGGAAGGGTCGCTATGTGCCAAGCACGTTTATGCAATGTTTAATCTTTGTAACCCTCCACTATCAGTTCCATTTTACAGATGAAAAAACTGAGGTTCGGAGGTGTTAAGGCCCAAGGCCATACAGTTGCAAAGTTCGACCTGGAATTTAGGGCTGTCTGACTCCAAATCCAACAGTACAGTGGCAAGATCTTGGCTCGCTGCAATCTCCACCCCCCGGGTTCAAGCGATGCTCCTACCTCAGCCTCCCGAGTAGCTGGATGAGACAGGGATTACAGATGCCTGCTACCATGCCTGGCTAATTTTTTGCATTTTTAGTAGAGATGGGGTTTCACTATGTTGGCCAGGCTGGTCTCAAACTCTAGACTTCAGGTGATCCATCCACCTTGACCTTCCAAAATGCTGGGATTATAGGCATAAGCCACCATGCCTTGCCTACTTTTCATTTTTAAATAATTCTAACCTACAGAAAACTTGAAAGAAAATCACAAAAAACACCTTCATCTAGATTCACCAATATTTGTCCAGATTTGTGTCTCTTTAAACATACATGTTATTATGCTGAGTCATTTAGCAGTAAGGTATAAACCAGCACTGTCCAAAAGAACTTTCTGCAGTGGTGGAAATGCTCTATAGCTGTACTGTCCAATATGATAGGTAGTATCCACATGTGGTTATTTAAATTTAACTGAATTAAACTGATTTACCACATTGCAAACGTTCACTAGTCTGTGGGTAGTGTGGCCACTATGTTGAATAGCAGTTATAGATGTTATACTCCCTAACCTCTAAATACTTAAGTGTGTATTTCCTAAGAACAAGGACACTCTCTTACATAACCACAATCCAATTACAGAGTTCAGGAAATGCAACATTGACACAATACCATTACGTAATCCATAGTCATATTCAAATTTGGCTAATTGTCCCAATAACATCGACTGTAGTAATTTCTCCCTTCCTCCCCAGTTAGGGCCCACATTTTGCAGTCAGCAGTCTCTTGTCTCCTTCAGATTCTCAGCCTTTCTTTGTCTCTCGTGACATTGACATTTTTGAAGAATACAAGCCAGTTGTTTTTTAAAATGAAGAATTTCTAGAGATTGGCTGCACAACACTGCTTAAAGTTAACACTGCTGTACATTTAAAAATCTGTTAAGTGGGTAGATCTCATGCTATCTGTTCTTACTGCAATAATTTTTCAAACGTCTCTTCATTTAGGATTACCCGATGTTTCCTCACAATCAGATTCAAGATATGCATTTTGGGGTAAGTATATCTTAGAAATGATGTGTTTCTGTCAGTATATCCCATCAGAACAAAGCCCACAACCCGGAAGCCCTATGGAAATATCAGAGGTCAACCTGAGAGGAATAGGTTTCTCCCTACTTAAAAACCTTCAATGGCTCCCTATCACTACTAGGAAAAAACCCAAACTTCTTAGTAGGCACCAAAGATTTTGGACTCTACCTTGAAGCCTTGTCTCCAGCCTCTTCAGTCACAAGGAATGACTCCCCTAAAACATGCCAGGCTCTTCCATGTCCTGTGTCATTTCCCCCCACATGCCCCCACCTGGGGAACTCTTCCTCTTCATTCAAACATTACCTCCTCCAGGAATTTTCAGTGATTTCATCAGACTGAGCTCCCTTCAGGCTGTACTCTGAAAGCCTTTTACAGAGACCCCTTTACAGGCAGCGTTCACCATGCTGCAATGATGTAGCTACATGTCTGCCTCCCCCATGTCTCCAGTCATGTGGCAAATCCTTTTTGAGCACGTGCCAGGCACTATGGTGGGTGCTTGAAATAGAAAAAGCCATGTCTGATCCCTTTCTCATGAAGTTTGTTGTCTATGACAGCAGCAGACAAGGAGCTACAAAAGTGTCACACCAGGCCCTACAGTGTCCCTGGCATCCAGAAGGAGCTCAGTCAATGCTGAATGAACGAATGTCACCAAAGGGGAGAGAGCACTGAAGGGTGGGGTGCACTGAGATGGGGTGGGTGCCATGGGTTACCTGGAGGCCTATGGACAACCTGTTGACCCCCGCTGCCCCGAACTCCGCCAGCCTGGAGACTGGAGCTGAAGTGGGATTAGCCTCCAATGTGACTTCCGAGTCTGCAGGCAGGTGGGCTGTCTGTGCCACAGCCTCCAGGACAGCAGCCACTGTGTGGGGACTGGCTAGACTGGGGGTCCCCCCACCAAAGAACACAGACTCCACGCTGGGGAAAGAGGATGGAGAAATGAAACCTGGGGGAGCTCTCTAGGATGCCTGCACCTATCCCCCACCACTCCTCCAAATAATTCCCAAAACGCGGCCTACAGCCCCCACTACCCACCGTTGCACCCCGCTGAGCCGCAGCAATGTCTGCGCTTCAGTCACCAGACACTTCTGCATGGCAGCCTCCTCCACGCCGCGAGGGATGTACTTGTTGAAGTTGCAGTAACTGCAGCGCTTCTCGCAGTACGGCCACTGGGGGCAGTGAGTGCACGCGCGAGGTGAGAGGAGACTCCGAGCTGCCCTGGCCACTTCCAGGGTTCAGTTGCACACATCCCCATCCCCACCCCCATACCAAGGTCCTTCCACAGAAGGCAGGACATCTAAGCCACACAACTCCCCACGACAGGTCGCACTGGGGTTATTATAAGCACTTCAATGTGAGAAATCTGAGGCTCACTCCTTTGTTACGCTGCCTCTTCCAACCAACAGACGTCAGGACGGCGGAACTCAACTCAAGCTCTTTCTGGGATCATAGAATTTTCATACAACTTTCCTGTGAGTCATTTTCCCAGCTACCGAATCAGACCATTGCTCTGTACAAAAAGTTTGTCTTGCTAAGAGGAAAACTGTTAGGAAATTTGAACCACTTGGTCAAAGTCACCGAGCTGGTGAGTAGCAGAGGCGTCAGGTTTCTGGACCAAGGCTTTTCCCTGCCAGGGCACTGGGTCCCATCCTAGACCTCATACGGGGGCACGGAAACACGGCAGGCGGGTTCATAGAGTGACAAGCCGCCAACTGGGTTTTGGACAGCCACGGTCACGGCCACGGCTACGGCCACACACCGCAGGCTCCACCCCGGCCCCCACTCACGTGTACGTAAAGCGCCGCGCGCGGGCCCGCAGGCTCAGGACTCGGGGACCCTGCCGCTCCCTCCATGCGGCGGCGCCTCTGGGCCGCTCTGGCTGCTGCCGCCCAGCCCCGGGCCCGGGCTCCGGGGAGCGCCATGGCGCCCAGCGCGGCGTGGGGCAGGGACCCGAGCCGGAGACGCGCGCGGGGCGCACGGTGAGCGCGGAGCCGGACCCTGGGGCCGCCGCGGCGGAAGGAAGAGGAGCTGCGTGACCGCGCGCCGAGAGGGCCCGGCCCGGGGCTGCGGCGCCACCTGCTGGGCGCCCGGGCGCTCACCGCGGCCGCCTGGCGATTCTTCCCCAGACCGCGGGACGGGCTTGCCTGCCTTCTGGCACCCTGTCCCCGGGCGAGTTCCCGGACCCATCCAGGAACTCTTAGTTCGTTCAGTCAATTCCTTGACATTTTATGTGCCTGCCTCAGAACTGCGTGCTGAGGACATCCAGGTGCAGGAAGCCAGGTTGCAGTCTGACAGGAGCGAGGCAAGGCGTGTTAATACCGTGCCTGCTGGACACCAGAGCTGTGCGCTCAGTGCTGTTGTGAGGTCGTCTGTTACAAGAGTGTGGGAGTCAGTGGGGGAGAAGAGGTACTTGGGCTGGATCTTCCTTTAATTTCATTAAAAAATATTTGGGGGAAGGGAGGGAGGTCTTGAACTCCCGGCCTCAAGCGATCCTCCTGCCTCAGGATCCAGAGTAGCTAGGATTACAGGCATGAGCCACCACCAGGGCAATGCGCTGGATCTTGGAGGAGCAGAAAATCCCAGGGGCAGTTGGCTTGGCCGGGAGAGTAGACTGCTGTGGGTCAGGCCAACCCACGCATCGGGAGGTGCACATGCTGGGAGGACAGTCAGGTGGTGTGTGCAGGAGAGACAGAGCGCCGGGGAAGGCCTAGGGAAGCAGGCATCTGAAGAACTGTCCCACAGAGCAGAAACATCATGGGCTTCAGAGTCAGGTGGTGCAGGACAGTTCTCCCAGTGGCCTTGAACTGACCTGGTTCTCCCCTCCTTTTTTGCTTATAATTCTCAAGAATAACTGTAGATGCCTGTAATCCCAGCACTTTGGGAGGCTGAGGCAGGCAGATCACTTGAGATCAGAAGTTCTAGACCACCCTGGGCAACATGGTGAAACCCTGTCTCTACTAAAAATAAAAAAATTAGCCAGGACACCTGTAATCCCAGCTACACGGGAGGCTGAGCAGGGAGAATCATCTGAACCTGGAGGTGGAGGTTGCAGTCAGCAGAGATTGTGCCACTGCACTCCAGTCTGGGGGACAGAGCGAGACTCCATCTCAAAATAATAATAACTCTGGAGTGTGCAGAAAATGCAACATCCTGAGGGAAGGAGGGACTGGCTAGGCTCTGTTCCAGTCCCCCTAGAAAAAGGATGTCCTTCAGCACTTCAGCCCAACATGTCACATGGCCCCAGGGTATAAAACCCAGGGCGGCTAGTTTCTGGGGTCTCTCAGCTTCAGTACAAGTCAGGCTGGCCAAGCGCGGCAGCTCACACCTGTTATCCCAACATTTTGGGAGGCTGAGGCAGGTGGACCACCTGAGGTCAGAAGTTTGAGAGAAGCCTGGCCAACAAGGCGAAACCCTGTCTCTACTAAAAATACAAAAAAAAAAAAATTAGTTGAACTTGGTAGTGCATGCCTGTAATCCCAGCTACTAGGGAGGCTGAGGCAGGAAAGTTGCTTAAACCCCAGGGTTCACACCACTGCATTCAAGCCTGGGCAGCAGAGCGAGACTTCATCTCAAAACAAACAACAACAACAGAAAACGAGTCGGGCATGCACAGATGAGAGTCCATCCTCCATCTGCCTCGGCGGCGTTCCTGAGTCTTGGGGGTCCAGCTCCAAATGAATCCCAGCCTTCTGTTGTCCCTGACTGCCTACCTGTAGGTAATAAACATGCTCCACGTCACTTGTGTTTGCCTCACTGGAATTTGTGGGTGTTTGCTTCACTGGACTCAGAAAAGTTGGTACCCAGTGCGCGGTGAACCTGCTTAGACAACTGGGTTCTGACTCAGCTGTGCGACCTTGAGCAAGATACTGAATCTCCCTGAGTTTCTGTTGAGTCATTTGTGAAGTGGGACCAACGGCTACTTGATAGGATTGTTGGGAAGATTTGGAGAGAAAATTATGTGAAAGTACCTAGCGTAGAGGCTGGTATTGAAAGCGTCTTAAACCTACGTCTGTATCTTAAAAAGTGAAGAGGAGGCTGCGGCTGCGGGCAGGTACACTGCGAGGGAAGGGTGCAGGTAGGCCAGAGTTTCCATTCCTGTGAACTGGGAACCTGCACCTCTTGGAACTCAGCTGTTTTTATTTCTTGGGGGATGGGAGATAGTAGTAAAAGGGTATGGGGTTTCTTTCTTCGGCGATGACAATATTTAAAATTGACTGTGGTAATAGTTACACATATTTATTTGTGAATATACTAAAGACCACTGAATTCTATGCTTTAAATGGTGGATTGTCCCAGCACTTTGAGAGACTGAGGCAGGAGGATTTCTTGAGCCCCGGAGTTCTGGACCAGCCTGGGCAACACAGCAAGATCCTGTCTCTATTTTAAAAAAGTTTAAAAATTAGTTGGACACAGTGGCACATTCCTCCAGTCCCAGCTACTCAGGGGGCTGAGGTGGGAGGATTGCTTGAATCCAGGAATTCAAGGCTGCATTAAGCTATGATCATGTCACTGCACTCCAGCAGAGATGACAGAATGAGATCCTGTCTCTAAAAAACGGGGGTGTGGGTATGAATTGGATAGTATGTGAGTATGTCTCAATCAAGCTGTTACATAAAACAAGAATACTTCTTGTTAATCTGGCAACAATGTGAAGAAAAATTAAATTAGAGTAGCTTAAAAATAAAAAATCGAGGCCCAGATGCAGTGGCTCATGCCTGTAATCCCAGCACTTTGGGAGGCTGAGGCAGGTGGATCGCTTGAGGTCAGGAGTTTGAAACCAGCCTGGCCAACATGGTGAAGCCTCACCTCTACTAAAAATACAAAAATTAGTTGGTGGTGGTGGGTACCTGTGATTCTAGCTACTTGGGAGGCTGTGGCAGGAGAATCACTTGAATCTGGGAGGCAGAGGTTGCAGTGAGCTGAGATCACACTACTATATTCCAGCCTGGGTGACTGAGCGAGACTCCGTCTCAAATTTTTAAAAAAATGGGTTGGTATCTCAATGGAATACCAAAGGTGAGGGTTAAATTCAGTAGCCAAATCACATCAAGGTGCTCTGCACTCTCGGTGACAAGGAACAGGACGTCTGAACGTGCTAGTTTCCCTTCGGTGTCTTCTCTTTTCCAACCCATAGCAGCTGCCAAGAGAGCCCACCAGCAAGAGGCCAAAGAAAACAGAAGCTCTTTGTGCCAAATCACAAGGACCGACAAGGGGAGTGTGGGGGATGGACAGGAGGAGGGCCGGGGTGGATCCTTCCTCCCTCTTTCTTCACAGATTTAGATGTCGCTCCATCTGCTCTCGAAGTTTGAATTTCTGGACCTAGGAGAAAGGAAAAGCAGTTAGGGTGACCAGCTATCTTGGGTTGCCCAAGACTGAGGGGCTTCTCCCGTCTTAGTGCCAAAACAGGACAAGTCCCGAGGCAAACCAGAATTAGGTGACTCGGTCACCCTACTGCCAGCCTCTCCACACCCACTGCTGAAGGAAACAGAGTTGGGGCCCCGTGGGCCCCCAGAGCCCAGCTGCCCTTCCCAGTCTCCTCCACCTTACACACCTTTCCTGAAATGGTGAGGGGGTACTCTGTGACAAACACGATGTAGCGCGGAATCTTGAAGTGAGAGATCTGCGGACCAGAGGCAGGGAGGGCGGGCGTGAGGCTGGGCAAGCTCACAGGGCTGCGGGAAGGGGACCAGGGCTCGCCTGGCTGGGAGTCAGCTTCGTTAAGGGAGGAGCAATCCCCGCCCCGGGCTGGTTGGTAGAGGAGGGGATGGGCGAAGAACCCGGCAGCATCAGCTTGGTTGGGAGGAGACTCCCACCTTCCCTTTGCAGAAAGCTTTGATCTCCTCTGGCGTGCTCTCCTCCCCGCTCTTCAGCCGAATGCAGGCGCAAATCTCTTCCCCCATGCGATCATCCTTCACTCCCACCACCTTCCAGGGCCAGGGAAAAATATCAGACATCACCATGTTCATGTGTGGTCCCTGTTTCTGGGGACTCCCCTGCGCCGGGTGCCTCACCTGCACTTCCTGCACCTTCGGGTGTGTGTGAAGGAAGTCCTCGAGCTCCACGGGGTAGATGTTCTCACCGCCCCGGATGATCATATCCTTAGAGCGGCCCACAATCTTGCAGAAGCCCTGTTCGTCCATCATGGCAATATCTCTGTAAAGAAAGCCCAGGGGCGACCTGTCACCTCTGCCTTGTTCACTCACTGGCTCGCTCACTCGTGAAACATTTATTGAGCACCTACTATGTGTCTTCTACTGCTCTAGACTTTGGGAGACATAGCAGGAACAAGACACAGTCTCTGGAATAATAGTCTAGTAAAGGGAGGGAAGGCAGAAAAAAAACCAGCCAATACCTATAACATATTCTCTCTCTCAACATATCTGTACATATGCTCTTCACAGCTGGCTTCTTTCTGGGTCTCAGCTCAAATGTTTCCAGACATCATTGTCCATCCATTCTAAGGGAAGCTCCCCTCCCCACCACAGCCACTTTCTCTCCTATAACCCTATTTTATTTTCTTGGTGTTTTTTTTTTTTGTTTGCTTGTTTGTTTTTGAGATGGAGTCTTGCTCTGTCACCCAGGCTGGAATGCAGTGGCGCAATCTCGGTTTGCTGCAACCTCTGCCTCCCAGGTTCAAGCGATTCTTCTGCCTCAGCCTCCCAAGTAGCTGGGACTACAGCATGTGCCACCACACCTGGCTAATTTTTGTATTTTTAGTAGAGACAGGGTTTTGCTGTGTTGGCCAGGCTGGTCTCGAACTTCTGACCTCAGGTGATCCACCGGCCTCGGCCTCCCAAAGGGTTGGGATAACAGGCATGAGCCACTGCGCCCGGCTTATTTACTTGGTGTTTATCGATGTCGGAAATCGTCTCTTTTCCTCCAAAAACCAGGATCCTTCTCACCTTACTTTCCTCTGGACCTCCAGCGGCGTGAACAGTGCTAGCACATAGGGAATCTTAATAAGAATTTGCTGGGGTAACCAATGAGTGACTGAATCTGGACTCAGATTTTGCAACCGCTGGTATAGGGCAATGACCCAGTCGCTTTCTTCTGTGCTATGTATGATCATCCCTACTATGTACATTTTGGAAATTAAGTCTCCAGCCTGTGAGGAGTCATCTTGGTACCTGCATCCTCCCTGTGCCAGGTTAATGTTCCCGGCTCAGCCTCAAGACCTCCAGCCTCCCCTCAGCAGCCAGAGCCTCCACCCCACCCTGCCTTCTCACCCTGTCCGATACCACTTGTCCTGATCCACTACTTCCTCCGTCTTCCGAGGCTCGCCCCAGTAGCCCAGCATGACGCAGTACCCTCGGATGAACAGCTCCCCGGGCGTGTTCAGTTCTGCCAGCTTCCCTGCCTCCATGTTCATGATCCGGGCCTGGGACAGGACAGCCTCAAGTTGGGGCTTCCTACCCTTTTGTTTCAGGATAGGTAGTCCTTGGAAATGGAGAGAGCTTTGCCTCCCCCCAACCCTCTACCCCCCAGGAATGAGAATCTCTGGCTCTGCCTATCCCCATCCAGAGAAGGGAGACAAAGGCTGGAGTCAACCCAGTGCCAGTCAGAGACCTGAGCTGGGCATGAAAGAACAGCTAGGACCCAGGCTGAGAGTGCTGAGGAGACAGCGGGCAGGCAGCTGCTGCAGAGAAAGAGGTCTGTGGAGCGGGGCCAGCCGAAGAATGGTAAACGGTGTGGAGGAGAAGGGAGTCTCCTCTTACTCCCCATTAAGCAGCAAATAACCAAAGAGGGTGTCGTTGACAACACCATGTGAATAGGAGAGGCAGAGTCTGAAAGCCTGGTAGAGAAAAGAGCTGTGGCTGCTGTGCCAAGGAAAGCTGAGCCTCTGTGTGCCTCAATGTCTGCATCTGCGAAATGGGGCAAATGATGCCCGCCCGTTTCCCTTCCAGGTGGGCATCCTAGTGAGAGTGGCGGTGCAGCTGCAGGACACATGGGAGGGGGCTCACATCTGCGCTCACTCCCGGGGTGCAGGACTGCTCCGGCGGGAGGGCAGGGCAGATTCACACCAGGACAGTGGCCAGGCCCAGGGGAAGCAGCTGCTTGCGCCCAGAGGCAGCGATCCCCCAGGGGCAGGAGCAGAAGCGCAAGGGAAATCAGGAGCTGGCTGGCAAGCCCCGGTGCTGGAGCAGGAGAAGAGGCATGGCCGGGTGTTTGTGATTGAGATGCACTCTGGGGCAGTCTTTGAGGGGCAAAGGGACCCCCAGAGGGATAGGCTGTTTGAGAAATAAAGTGTTTACGCCAAGCAAGAAGAGGAACTCTGCTAAAGCGAGAGGCAGGGACCACTGGAGGAAAAGAAGCTGTGTAGGAAAAATCTCTGTGCTTTGGCTCCTCTGCGAGGCTACCCTGGCTGCCCTGAAACAGACAGTGGGCTTGGCAAAAACACACCTCAGACAGGAAGGGAGGCTGCGGAGAGGTTCAGCTGGCAGCTGCTCATGGCCACTGTTCCAGCTCTTCCCCTTTCATGCTTAGCCCACAGAGAGTGCTCCGGGCCAGGTCTAGCAAGCCCCTGTGGCTGGGGGGCTCTCCGCATCCTAAGTGAGCCATTTGGCTCTCTCACTGAAAGCAACAGATGTCCCCAATGGGTGCACCCCAGGTGGGTGTTGGGAGGTGGGGCTTGGGGGTCTTTGTGAAGGGCTCACCTCCGTGTGAGGCATAATTCTGCCCACGCTTTCTGCCTTCTGCTCCACAGTGTCCTCGGGTAAGCACATGAATGTCACGGGACTGTTCTCTGTGGTTCCATAAGCAACCTAGAGGGGGCAGAAAGGGTGTTTGGAGAGGGCTCAGCGCTTGCAGAGGGACTGGGTGAGCTACCTGGGGAAATGGGGAGGAATTCATAAAGGAAAAGGGGAAGTGGAGGGCAGCCGAATGGTGGAAACAGACATCATTGGTAGGGGCCAGGGGTCAGGGGGCAGAGGCGCTGGGAGTGAGCAGGCTAGGTCTCTGAAGCGCCCCAGATTTGAAAGAAAACTGAGTGCAGGGACACACCATTCTCTTCCAGCTGGGGCTCTCTCAGTACCCCGTTTCCCTGGAGCAGCCACCTGTCTGTGCCTGTGGCTCCAGTATTATCAAGACCCCACACTTCTCTCCCCATCCCCTGGCTGCCTCAACCCCTCCTTCTTGATTTCAGGCCACACCCTCTGCCCCTCCCCTCCCCTCCAAGCTGAAGGCCCCAAAAGCTTGATGAGAAAGCCAGCCTGCTTTGGCCCAGCTAGGAGTGACATAGACAACCTCGCCCTTGCATCCCACAAACCCTGAACAAGTGCCTGGCCCTGGGGCAGGCGTCTCCCAGGCTCTGGAGAGTTTCCCATGAATTCATTTCCGTCA